TGTTGTGATCCACACAGTCAAAAGCCTTTGCATAGTCAATGAAGCACAGATAGACATTCTTCTGGTATTCTTTGTTTTCTGCTAAGATCCATGTGACATTAGCTATAAAATCCCTAGTACCACGAAGTAAGTTTGAAAAAAAATCCGATGTACATATATTAAAGACAATAAAACAAACCAATCGTCCCGCAACAAAATAAGTCTGAATTCACGAGACAGAGTCGTTTTGGTATGTTTTAATGGCTATTGCCTGGATGCAGATTGCTAATGTGTTATTTCTCCATCTAAGTTCAGAGGGATATCATGCTTAGGATGGTGGAGGGGCAGTGCAGGAGAGGAAGACCCTTGATAAGATGGACTGATTCAGTGAGTGGGGTAATGGTGGTAGGTGTGTCAGAAAAAGTAAGATTGGCATAGGACAGAGCAGGATTTAGGGCTGTTATACATAGGGTCACTTTGAGTTGCATGTGACTCAATGGCACATTACAACAAATACCGGTTCATGAGTGGATTGTCCCATATTTTCACATTACTCTCATGACTACTATACCTAAGTTATTGAGTATTATAAAATCAATTGAGAATGTGACCCCTTTTATGTGTTTTCTGAGAAACTCTCTTAAGATGAAGTGACCTGCTCAGCCAGAAAACTGCCAAGAGTTTGTGTCTCCTTCATGAAGAGTGTGTACTACTGATTTTGTTTTTTTATCTGTTAAAAGACTTTCAGAATTTTTATTTACTTTTTAAACAATTTCTGAGGTTATTTTCCAGGAACGTTTAAATTTCATTGGTATAAAGCTGTCCACAGTCTTGTCACAGGATGAGTAGAACTGCTCCAGGTTTCTAAGGCTAGTAGATTTGAACTGATCCCCTTTCACTTAGGAGAGCAGCACTTAAACTTTGTATAACTAGGATTCCTTATTTTCTTTTTCTTGGCATTATCTGTAAAGGATCCCTTTTCTTCTTAAAAAGTTTCTCTCCCCCCCCCCATTTCCATTGTGTACTTTGTTAGTATTTTAAAGATTCAGCTTTTGACTCTGTTGATTATTATTGTTCTTGCTTTTAATGTCATTACTTCTTTCTTTGGATTCTATTCTTTCCTAACTTAAGTCCTACTGACACTTTCTTCTTCTTTCTAATACAAACACAGATAACACATTTTCCTTAAAATAGCTTTCCTTGGCTCTTTTAGATAAATCTTATGAGATTCTATATACTCCTTTACCATTCTAAGTATTTTCCAATTTGTTATTTATAATTGTATTCAAAATTTGCAAACATGTGTTTTGTTCCTTCCAGGTTTTTGTTACTGTCTTTTAAGTAAGCTATGTTGTTGTTAGATGCCCTCAAGTTGCGTGTGACTCAAAGTGACTCTATGAACAACAGACCTGAATCCTTTCCTATCCTGTACCATCCTCACAATCTCTGGCACACTTGAGCCCACTGCTGCAGTCTCTATGTAAATCCATCTGCTTGTGGGTCTTCCTCTGTTTCACTGACTCTCCACCCTTCTAAGTATGATGTCTCTTTCAAAGACTAGCTTCTCCCAGCACCATGCCTGAGTATGAGAAATGAAGCTTCACCATCTTTGTCTCCAAGGAGCACTCTGGCTGCACTTTTTCCAAGTCATATCTGTTCTTTTGGCAGTCCATAGGGCTACTCAGTACTTTCTCCAATACCACAACTGAAAAGCATCAATTCTTTTTCTGTCATACTTATTCACTGTCCAGCCCTCAGAAGCATAGCACGTGAATGAAAAGGCCACGTCTGAATCAGGCACACCTTAGTTTTCAAACTGACATCATTACTCTTCAGTATTTTGGAGCAGTCCTTGACAGCAGACTTGTCTAAAGCAATACATCTCCTGATCTGTTAATACCAAGGGTGTTGACTGTGAAACCAAGGAAGGTGAAATCATTGATAGTTTCAATTCTTTCTCCCTTTAAAATGATATTGCTTATTGGCCTAGTGGTAAGGACCTTTGTTTTCTTGACATGAAATTGTAATCCATATTGAAGGCTGTAGTGCTTGATCTTCTACAGCAAGCTCTTCAGGTCCTCCCCACTTTCAGCAAGCAAGGTTGCGTCATCTGGATAACACAGGTTGTTGATGGGTCTTCCTCTGATCCTGATGCTGCATTCTTCTCCATAGAGTTCAGCGTCATGAATTATTTTCTCAGTACACAGACTGAATAGGTATGGAGAAAGAATAATCTATACACTATTGTTTCTCTGGGATTTGAGATTTGTAAATGTTCCAAACGTACTTGAGAAAAAAAAATAAATCCCTAAGTGTGGGGGAAAGAAATTAAAATATATCTAGTAAATAAAAAAGAAACAAAAATTCTGATTTGATCTGTAATTAAAGAGGTTGAAATGGTAATCAACTTGGAATGGTGCTAGAAGTAGGAGCAGAAAAATCAAAGGGAATGCATTCTGTTTTCTGTATAAGGAATTGGCATGCCTTTTTTTATGACTGTTCATAAAGTTAAAAACAATCCAAAATTAAATTAGGTAAAGAGTTACAATGTGATTTTTTGGCAGAAAAGGTTAGACATCTAAATTTACTTTACCTATATTTAAAAAGGCACTGGGCAGAATCACATTCGCTTTCTTAAGAGTATCTTTGTCAACAGACTGCATTTAAGAGCTCAGTTTGCCTGGAATGATCCAGCACCACCCTCAAGCCTTTCCTTTCTTTCCAGGCTCCTTAGCCCTTTGGGAGGGGTGAGGGGAGAGATGGTGACACCTGATACTAAACAAACAGTATGTGGTTGAGCTTGTCAAACCTACCACTTCCTTCCTTAGGCAACAGAAGTGCCTTGGCTTATTTATTATCTAAAGTCGTTAGCAGGAATTAGCAGGTAATGTCCCTTTTTCTCAGAAAGGCAACTGATCACTGTACTCCATTCAGCTCCAGAGTCCAAGCAAAACGGACAGGGAAACTGGATGGTTGGAACGGAGGCAAAGAGATGAGAAGGCCCCAATTTGGATCTCTGGACCATTTCAGCTGACCTGGAATTCCCAACATCTTTATCTGCAAAGAAACAAAAGGGAAACCAGTAAGCAGAGTATGGAGCCTGACATGGTGGGAGGTACCATGCTTTATTGGGAAAGACAGTCTAAAAGAGGAATAAAAAGGGGAGAAATTGGGGGAAAGAAAGAAACAGCACAAAAGGTTTACCAATTCTAGAAGCAAAAGGTACATTTTTAGCATTGATACCTTTGCAGTTGTGGAAGCGTTAGGGGATGCCAAGGATAAGATTCCATTTGGTGGCCACTGCAGTAAAATGGCATAAACAATGGAATTTTTTGAGGTATACCTGGGAAAAAAAGAAATGTCACTGTCAAGGACACCTGGTTTGCTAACCTTATATACAGTTACATTCCTCCTTAATGAGCTACCAACTGAAGACCAGGGCAGAGGGGAAGCATATTGAAGGCTATAGTCTTTCATTTTCTGCAACAAGAGTTTCAAGTCCTCCTCACTTTCAGCGTACAAGGTTCTGTCATCTGCATAACACAGGTTATTGCTGGGTATTCCTCCAATTCTGATGCCACATTCTTCTTCATAGAGTCCAGCTTCTCAAACGATTTTAGACTGAATGGGTATGGAGAAAGGATACAACTCGGTCATGCACCTTTCTTAGTTTTGAATCATGTAGCGCTCCCTTGCTCTGCACAATAGCCTCTTAGTCTAGGTATAGGTCTTGCACGATCACAATTAAGTGTTCTGGGACTCCCAATCTTCTCAGTGTCAACTCTAACGGTTCTCTTTAATTGAGTGCCTATTATCTGCCTGTCACTCACGATGTTGTACTTCAAGATGGATCTAGAAATAACT